ATATTACATTTTTTTGAAAATTATTTCTTATATCAATGGTAAGCTTTAAATTAATGATTAAATGCAACAACATAAATATAAAAGGTGAAAGATAATAATTGTCCTGCCCCTGAGCTGTTGGCTTTAAGTAACTGAGCAATTTAGTTTGATAACACAGTATTAATGTCTGAAAATAAGCTGCTTTAAAGTCAGCATCAAACATAAACTAAATCTGCCATAATGCATTGTAGCTCCTCACTAGAAACTCATCAGTGAGTAAAGCTTTATTAGTTTTATGACTGACCAAATCTGAAACAAATACAGAAATRTTAAGAGTAAAACCTTGTTAACAATAGGTTCAGGCCCAGGCCGCCCTTGAAAAAGAGATCTGAAATCTCAACGGCCTCACCTGGTAAAATAACGGAAAATAAAATAAAGTAAATTTTTACTTTTAATATTTCTGTATTTATTTCAGATTTAGTCAGTCTTACACTTAGTTCTTATCAGTGTATAAAAGAGGAGTTAAAACACTGTTTAGTCAAAGTTAAACAAGAAACATCACAGTTCATTACAACTGGCCCTTGGAGGGCCACCATAACGCTGATGTGGCCCTCGATGAAAATGAGTTTGACACCCCTGGTTTACGGGGAGGAGGGAAAGAAAGCAAGGAAATCAGTTTAAATTTAGACTTGAGTTGTCTTTTCAGTTAACTACAGGTTTTTCTGGCCCAAAATGACCAAGGTTCAAACTTGTGACCTTTGGGTACAAAAGTTATTGAGACAAAGTTTGCCGGTGTTGTGTGGAGATTTGTTACCCCGGCCGTCAGGATGTATTTCCTCTAATTGCAAAAAGCACTAAATGCTAAAACCATAAGGATGTCAGATGTGCATGTAGTATAATAACTTTTTAAGGTTTGAACAATGGTTTAAGTCATCTTATATGGCTACGTAGTAAGCGAAAAAAGTGTCACAGTCGCCCTTTTCCTRCTATAGAGAAAAACAGCAAATAAAAAAAGGGACGAAACATGGGAATCGGAACAATTGATTGGTCCTGAAATTTGAAGAAAGATGGAGATTTGTTAACGTGAATGAATGATAAGTTCCCAACTGGGGAACAGCAGGTGCTAAACCAAGTGTGTCCACATTGGAAAAACTATCACAAGAAAACCTTTAACCATATTAGGTCACCTGCTATAATTGTTGCCAAAAAAATTCTTAAATTTTAAATGTACATTTACTAATTAGAAAGTTTTAGTAAAAATTAGCCTTTGGTTCATGAGAGATTTTAGTTACAGACACAAAAATAAAACTTGATGCCCGCCTTTGCTTTTTGGCGGAAGGCGATATCAACTGTTGTGAGGCCAAGCACCATTCCTTTTTTTTTTTTTTGGGAGTTCGGCACTCAGTACTGTTGCACAAAATCACTTTTAAATGGCACCTGTTTCATCAATTACAGCCCATTTTATCTGAAAATGTGGAGCCGCTCAACCTGACCCTCTGTGCTTCACACCTCACCGAGAAATTCTCTTTAGCTCCATTTAGCTTCGAAGGCTTTTAACTGGCAGGGAGACAGGTCCTCCGCCTTTACAGGTCCTGGAGACACAAACGGTGGGCTTCAAGGATTGACTCGGGCGTTCACATTTACAGCTCCAAGCTCAGTTGTTGTTGTTTTTAAATGGACTTTCAGGATGTGTGAGGGACTGGCAGATTAGGCTCTTCTCTCAGGAGCWGCAGTTATTTCACCTCAGAACATGGTTGTAACGGGAGGCAACACTCGGTGCCTGCTTTATTAATTAATGCTCTGCTAATTGGGGACTGACTTGAAACACTTAAACGCATGAATTAACCAAACCTTTTAGAAAGTGTGAAATGTGTGGGCAAGAGCTGCCTTCGTCCTTGACCCAACAACACGTTCACCTCAACTCACGTTTTTGTTATTAGGTTTAGTTTGTGATTTGACAGCCAGGATAGTACTGTATTTTTTTTTTTTTTTTTTTTACTTTTCAGTATGAATACATTCTGCTTCTGGATTATGAAATTAAAAAAAACAACAGTTCAGTTAACTCTGATGTAAAAAAAATGAGGTTTGAACATTTGCACTGTAACAAAGTATTCAAAGTTTATTTTACACAACAGTTTTGCAACATTTGAGTAATTCTGCCTTATTGCTCTTCCTGTTGTTAAAGAGGAACCAGCAGTTTGTCAAGCTGTGAGTTTAACCAGCTTCACTTTTGCTTATTGATTGTTGATCCTAATAAATTAACCCCCCCCCTCCCCCCAACACACACACACATTATTGTCAGTGAAAGACAAAAATCAGCAGGTTTTCTCTTCAGGCTACAAAACAAAACCACCACCTGTCATTTTCTAYTCAAAACAAAATCAATCTTTTCTCTCCTTACATCAGTCAGATTGTTTTTATTTTCTGTTTGAATATGCTGTTCTGTGGCACCATCTCCTGGCAGGTAAAAACAAGTGACCATAACATCATTACACAAAAAGCTAAGAAAGCATAATCTAACTAAAGGTTTGGTATCTTTTGACTGGTGTCTGGGTATCAGTTTATCTTATGAGTGTGAAGTTTTTGAGAACTGTTTTTGCATTAAAACTGTGGAAAACTGGGCTCATCATATTAATTTTCAAACATAAAAAATGCGAGCTTTTATTGTGAAACGTTGTGCCGGAGTATTTCCTGTYACCTGACTATCACAATAAAAGCCGGTCGTTTTGTCTCTCGTAAGACTTATCACTTTATATAATCCCTTGAACAGTTTTTAGAACAAACTACGAAAAATAAAGAGTTTTTTCGTTTGTTTTTTTATTTAAAATACGATATTTAATGTTTCTTTGTTTTGGATTAAATGATCTAATCTTTTATTTTGACGGCGTCACACCGGAAGTGTAATTATTGTCACCGCTAGTGAAAAAAAAATCAAAAAGTGCTGTTGTTTGTCATCTGACCAGAAATGGATTTTGTTGTGAAATGGACTTTAAGGCGACATTCCTGCAAAACACAAAAGCAACAGCACCGCAGTCTTTAGTGATGAGGTAGGATTTTTATTTTTATTGTATTTATTAATAAATACCATTTGACGCGGGTCGGTTCTAGGTTTGTTGTCTGAACACAAAGACACTAACCTAAATTAAATTCATTAAAATGTCATGTTCTGGTGAGTTAAAACACAAATTGTTGGCATTTAAAACAGGTTTACTGTAAAGAGGTGTTTTTCAGTCTAATATTTTCATGTTTGTTTTCCCGGTTAACTTTACCCTGAAACACTAGTTCCTCATTGGTGAAGGTAGCAAAGTCAGCCTTTTCTTGTTAGCAAGTTTTTTTTCTTTTGCCTGCCTTATTGAAGTTTTCCCCTTACCTCTCCATATTTTATTTCTGACCTTTTTTCACGTGACAGTTACATTGTCCTGATGAGACTGAGATGACTGTTGAGTCAGTGCCAAACACAGAACTGTTGTATTTGATTGCTCCATCTTTTTATGTTTAAAATAAGTCAATATGACAAAAAATATTCATGAGCAACCTGGTTAAATTTTAGCCAAACTTTTTTTTCTTCAATTTTTGTGTTTGGATATCTCACTAGACTTGTCTCTGATTGTGAGACTCACAGTTGGAGTATTTTTTTAATTATTATTTTATTTTATCTTTATCATTTCAGCATCTACTGAACTAAATTGAATTGTCTGGAATRACCTGCACCACCCTATGACTCAAAACAAACCAATGTAATGTAACAAAAAAAATTTAAAATTTAAAAAAGCATCTTGTTTGCAGCAATTAGGAACCCAAACTTACCACATGCTGTTGGGGTTGTAAAAACCTGGTTAACAACAAGTTTTTCCTTTTACTCTGTTCACAATTATCAATTCAAATGTCTCAAACAGGGTCCTTCTTGTGTAAAGGCTCAGTCCCAGTCCTGACATGCTCACACACTTGATGAAAAGATCAGATTTATTTAATAAAATATTATCACACATCATACATATAATATGACATTACAAAAGTAAACATGTTGTATGAGATTAATACTCATGTACATACTAAATTCTTCAAGTAAATAAAAACCTTGGTAAAAACAAAGGACAAATCTTCATGTGGTGGCCCCGAGGCTCTGGGACGCTCTCCCTCTGTCCCTTCGCTGCTCAGACTCTACTGACTCTTTTAAGAAACATCTTAAGATATTTTTATTCAGACAGGCTWTTAGTTAATGTGYTTTTTATTGTGTTTTAACTGTTGKTTTTTATATCTGTGATCTGTKTTATTGTTTTTAGTTATTTTTGCTTTCTGTGAAGMACTTTGTGATGTTTGTGTCTGTGAAATGTGCTATAGAAATTAGAGCTGGGCGATATGATCAAAATTTTATATCACGGTATTTTCAACATTTTCACCGGTTTCACGGTTTTTGACAGTATTTTTCTTTTCATCACAGCTCAGCTGATAATAAAATGTACAAACCTTGCTTATTGAGTTTTTTCTTTTACTGTACGTCTGTCTGTGTCACTGTTTCCCTCCTCTGTGTCTGTTCTTCTCTGACTGGTGGTTGGAGACAGTAGTCATGCATTTCGGTCCAGTCGTGAAGGAGGAGGGTTAAGAAAAGATTATGATCGGGTCTATTTTATGTTATTTATTAAAGCTTTTCAGCACGACTCACCTTGCACACCGGTCAATTCCAACTCCACTACGAACTACTTCCTGCAGGCTTTTCACAATAGAACCACGTTAAGTCTCCATCAGCATAACGTCTCCATCTTAACTAACCGTGTTAAATCTAACTGTGCACGTCAGTCACTGAAGAGGTGTAACTACATTCAGCGACGGCGAAAACGGGATGTTTTTTTAAACGTCAGTCAATATAAGCAGCGGAATCGCCACCCGCTGCTGCAACTAGCTGCTCCAAACATTAGCATGCTAACGCGCATAGCGGTGCAGCAAGGAAAAATGTCCCCCGGGAAACAACAGTTCACTGGCGGCCACGACAAAACATTCCGCTATTTAAACCGGAATGTCCGTTATTCAAAAAATTCATATCATAACAAAAATAAAAACCAGTATTTGGTATAAAACGGTATACCGCCCAG